TATATTGTGATAAGGTCTAGATTTGATTGTAAAATTAATTTACGAGTAAATTCAGTTGTCTGCAGCTGTGGTGATACGATTCGTTTCACCAAATAAAATAACTCGTAAAATTCATATACTTCTAACAGATAACTATCTGCTTTTCTATTTTTAGGTACGTGTTATTTATAATTTTATAATCATGTAACTAATACGTAAGAAGTTTATAGAAGAAACTTAGTCTAAATTACGTTTTAATAATCTAGATAAACCCTTTGTTGGGCGTAGTCTACTATTTCACTGTCTATCAGGCTTTTGACTGTCTTTTTGACACATGTCAAATAATACCGATTGAACAATTTTGTTTTTTTACTAATTTTTAATACAACAATGAAAGCCGCATGCATAATTCTAACTATAATAATCTTTGTTGCTATAATGGCTGTGTGCGTGATGGTGAAGTTTGCTACAGACATCACCGTGGAGGACAGGAAGAGAGAATATATGCCTGGGAATGGAGGAGTCTACGAAGTGGCCAAGTCTATCGGTGTATTCGCTTTAAATGATAATTATACACTGCCAATAGCCGAGAGATTCCCCTACGTTGCCGCTATAACCAGAAACTCATCCGATACCTGGTCATTTGCGTGTTTCGGAAGCGTCATACTCGTCAAATGGGTAGTAACATCCGCTCATTGTAGAAAACCGGGCGCCACACACAGAATCTTACTTCTACAAGATTATATAAAAAATTACACACATACATATCCGATTCTCTTCTGGAGAATCAATGAAAAGTATAACGCGAGTGATCCTTCAGGCAAAAACGATATTGCAGTTGCTAAATTGAATCTGGATAGTTATCCAGCGATTGCGAAATCTTCTACAATCGATAGCAATGAAGCGAAAGAGATTGAGGCTAACGTTTGGAAGACTGTATCGACGATGAGTAAGCAAGTTTACCTGACTAATAACTTCGATAAGTTTGAAGTGAAGATCGCGAAACGTCACAAATGTTTCGAGAGTTACGGCGTGAAGATTGACGACAGCCTGATTTGTGTGGACATGTCTGATTATGAAGACTGCTTTATTCACGAATTCGGACCTCTGTACGCAGGTGACAAGCTTGTTGGAATACTGGCGATGAAGCCGAAGGACTGCGATCTCAAACTACTCGTTTTTACAAATGTATCTTATCATGCTAAATGGATTTTAAGAATTACACATACTCCTTTATATGGATAAAAGTATTGTTTAAATTACTATAAGCAAGCGAACCTAGAAATGGAATTGACTATAAAGGGTTCCAGAACTTTGCAGTTTAAACAATAACGTTAGCATGTTTAATTTCTCTAGTAAAATAATAGAGATATTTTCATATTTAAAGCTACAGATTATAGATTTACCATCACTCTGTTTACAGTCATCGCTAATATTGACAACTTATTGATTCGTTAAGTGCGGACTTGATCAGGGGTAGAATGGTATAGATCTATTAATACTAGATATGACCAAAGGCTGTTCGTATACATCAAAATTAAGCAAAAAAATTGGTGTGCATCGTTCTTTACGCATAATCTTGCGTGAAATAATGGAATCTGCAACTACATAAGAAAAAAACGTAAACCATAAAGTAAAATTGATTATTATATTTCGTAGGTTACAAGAGTTCAGTTTTGATAATTGAAAAAAGTTCATTAGGAAAGAAATTCCCTTTTATGTAAAAATAATAATAATAAGAAATAACTAACTTATTTTTAATTTGAAGCATTAGTTCACTGCAAGGTGTTATAATAAAAAATGATAAAGATTTTCTCTTCCAGAAACTGTATAGCAGTGTCCCTAAACAAAGACAGTCTATTTGTTAAGATTTACCCGACACTGCATTCCCTTATCGTCGTAACTTGAGTTCTTGTTTATTCTTTACAAAGAAAAATTTTCTTTGAGTAAGGTATTTTATCTTCGTGGCTGCATTACAGAATATGCGAATTGAATTAAAAGAAATATTGTAATAGTTAATTAATTACGAGGTAGTTACAACTTATTTTATTACTTACTTCACGGCTGACCTCCTCTTCTATCACTATTTTTAAGACCGATAGCGGATATATTGGAAATTAGGTTAAGTGTCGGGCTTTAATTTAGAGAAAACGTTAAAAAAAGAACAGGTGTTTCTGCATATAACGACACTTTATAACGCCAATATTCAAATTAAATAGATAATAAAGTACTATTTTTACAAATTAATCAATTAATTACCGTTTTACACAAAAACCCGCCAAAACTCTAATTACACCGTCTTTTCTTGCCATAACAGATTTTTTTTTAAAGAACAATGCAAACTACGTGGATATATTTCCAGCTATCTAATAAGATTTTTATCATCACTGTTTCTTAATGAAATATTAATATCGACCTTATAGTATGTTTGAAAGTCTTAGGCCTCCCCAATATTATATTTTGAGTTTCATTTTAGGTTTGTTCTTATTTATCTATCGCGCAGCGGGAAAGCGACTCAATCTTGCCGAATTGCAGAATAAAACAGGCCATTGAGATGTTTATCTTTATTACGCTGGAGTACAAAAACTTGTGCAGATATCGGGAGCCAACCCTAAGGAAAATCATTCATACAATTTTAGTCTACATTTGAACCGCGCGCATTGATTATATTGACACGTGTACACGGTTTTGTACAGAGTAGCTATGCAACAGACTGTGATAACATTTATAGTAAACTTTTTTATGTTGAATGTAACATAATTTGATTTGTTCTACTGTTGATAATAAATCAAATTACACAGTATTATATTACTAAACGTACTTAATCAATTGAAACTAATCAATTGATATCTGATAACAACGATAGTGCATCCCCTTTAGATATTAACCACTAAGCAAATACACAAGGATTTTAACTATAAAAAAAGCCCGAATTTCCAAATTAAATTCAACAAATCCATAGATAATCTTGATCAATTAAGTTCGATTTTTGATTTTTTCGATCGATATTGTACCATTTCGGGATCGCGATAGAAATAGGAGATATTAAACAGGAACATATATTAGTGAGTATAATCTCTATATTTACAATACTCTGTAACAAAACAATCGGTCACGTATCTAAAGAAATAGTAACAAATGTGTGATAGCGGGGAGGGACGCTATCTTTTATTGCATCTAGATATCTTCGCGAGTGGGGGATGTTGTGATTCATGTGCGAGTGACGCGTGATTTACGCACAAGCGCCCCGTCGTTCACATACAAGAACATATCGGCTGTAAACATCAATGGATAGAGGTTAGGCAAGAAAAACACTTAAGGAACGGAGATTTTTTTAAAAATAAATTTACATATCTTATCATGGGATTCGCTAACCTATAGTAATGTCGAAAACACTTCCTTTATTCCAATAAGAAAGCTTATCAACTTGTGGCCCAATATTTTAATCTTTTATTTTAATGAAGAACTAAAAATCATTTTTGAATTCTCTAGACCCTTAAGCCTCTATGGATTTTAGGTACCTCAGTATGTATTAGTACCTTATTATTTAAATGTTATATGTTTAACAAGAGCCATAATAATTAAAAAGTTAAAGACATTACCATCTACAGCGTTAATAAAACCCAACATGTACAGTCGCGGAGAAAGTGACTAACTCCTCAGAGTCATTAAATATAAAAATAGAGAAATACAAACTTGTGGCCTTCTTTTTCGGGATATTCCTGAAATAGAAAGAAGGTTATCTTCAATTATTATTTATTTTTAAATTCGAAAACAGAATAGAAAACATATCCTTGTTTTTACAAAGAAAATGATAAATAATGCCAATATGTTTGTTTTTCAGTGGAAACACACGGAAACTGATCGCCATCAGTTCTAGAGACGATTTTGTATTATCGATAAATCGATAAAACTAATTACAATGCTGTAATGTTTTTATCACGACTGTACCCGTTAACGTCGCCGTACATTTAGCGGCTCAATGAAAGTTATTGTGCAATAGACTTTACTCCCCTCGCATAACAATAAAAATATTCATAACTCTGTCTACCCCTCCGACGGCTCAACTAATGCGTAAGGGTGACAAATGACAACATAGACATTTTAGTACAAAACTAAATTATATGAAAAAGTTAAGCAATGGTATTTTATGGCCGAACCTTATTCTGAAACATAGATATAGAACAGACTGTATTAATATAATTTGAATTTGTACTTACTTAAGACTGTTACTATAAAATTAATAAAACAAAATAGTGTATGTTTTTTCGTCTGCCTATCACGCCAAGGCTAATTGTTAAAAAAAATAGTAGAAACTTTGAAAATTCATGCACGCAGCAATTTTTACAAATACATCGCCATCTAGTGGCGAAAAGAAGTAAAACCGTACTTTGACTAAAATGAGCCTAAATAATATCATCATATAATACCTATTTTATTTACCTATTCTTAAAATTCTTTAACATTCAATATTTAGTCACGAATATTCAAAATAATTAGAGAATAATAGTTTAAAATAAATAGTTTTATTCTGCATTAGGCTTTAAAGATTATTTTGGTATAAAGCATTTCTCACATTTCAGTGATCTATTAAGTATTAAGATAATATAATTGAATCGTTGTTGCGTGATATTGCAATTAATTAGAATCATGTTTTAAAATACAATCATCTGGTAGTCTTTCTACGTTTTAAAATAACGCTGAATTAAACTGCAAAGAACAAAAATATCGATGAGTCAAGCTTGGTGATACAACTTTGCGCGAAACTCCTGTCGATTACGTTTTGTGAAGGCGTGAATCACAGCTGTATAGAAAAATCAATACTTGGCATTAATCTCTGCCAACTGGACTAAATCAGTCACACAGAAACATTTAATGAAAATTATAGAACACGAATTTTAAACAGTTTATTTGCGTTTTAAGTGTATTTCGTTTAAAAATAATTAAAACAAGCAAATTAAATTAGTAAAGGTGTGAAGTTAGCTGCACTTGGTGTTGGAATTAAATGACCTGATTGGCTGTCCACCAGAGGGCGCAGTGTACTCGTGATGTTGTTACATACTATAGGGGCGTGTAAGTGCTTGTGAAAAATAAGTGTTTTGTGATGTTTCAAGCCCTAAAGGAAAATAAAATTTGTAAGTAGTCAAAATTTACCGTATCCCGCAGTCAGTCTAACATTTGTAACCACTAGTAAACACCGAAAAACCCATAAGAATTCGGAAACCATACATCTGTCTGAGAGACGTATTACCCAGCCAAATTCAGGTCGTGTCGATAATAGTGCGCTTCCTATTGCTAGCACCCTCCGTGATTTGGTCGTGTTGCATTCCCGCCATCTTGTAGCAGGAGCTTTCAGGATTTTGTATAAATACATATATATCGATCGTAAAGCTCATTACATACTAATTTTAAATATAAATCGCTATATTATACTACCATAATGTTACCATTGTAAACAAGGATAAGTTTGCTATAATTTTAATTCATACACAGTTATTTCATTCATTTTAACCTTTGTTGACATTTTTAAATTTAGTTTGAATGAGGAAATAATGAATTATTCTAATTAGCGCTGTTGTATGTAGTGATTAAAATGATATTAAAATTGCTTGTATAATCATTTAGCTGATTAGAGGTCATTAATTTGTGACATGAAGTGGATAAAAGCATGACATCATGAATTGAAAATAGTATCAAAGAACATTGAACAAAATGTGAATAAACAACGACTAGGTCAGATGGTCATCTAGTAGAGCGGATACCATCGATGTTACATAAAATTTGTCGATATTTGACCTTCTAACAACTGCTGCAACTGCAATGAAAACCCATTACTTATTAAATCATTACAAGTAGTGATGGGACTCGAGTTGCTTTTTACTCGAGTGACTCGAGTCATTTTTTTCTTACTCGGACTCGAGTGAAATTTTTGACAACCCGAGTTGCGAGTGACTCGAGTTGACTCGAATTACGAGTGACTCGTAACCATTTTGTTGGTTTATACTAAGCGGAGTAAGAAATTTTTACAGCATTTTCAGTTAAATTTGTTATCTTTTTAAAAACACACTATTTCTGTTCTTTTGTATAGTTTATTTAAGCTTCGTTTAAGTTAATTTTATTATGAAAATTGTGTAAGAACATAATCAAACTGTCCATATTTGGATCTCATGAAAATTACTTGTAAGAAGTTATTAAAATGGATTATAACTTATTTATAGTACACTATAAAATTTCAACTAATAGATGATATAAGAGGTTTCTTGATTATTTAGACAGGTTTAGTTTAAAGGAAAACACTATTTTTACACATTTTGTACAGATTTTTTGAGTAACTTTTACGTTAACGCGAAAATAATTTCTTTATGTTAAATTACCATTGTTTTATTGGTTTTAAAATTTTGGTTCCTTGATTTTTATATTCCGAGTGACTCGCGTCTATAAACATCACTCGAGTCTTATCTTCACTCGAGTGGCATTCGAGTGAGAATGTTACGAGTACCGAGTGACTCGAGTGAAAAAAAATCACTCGAGTCCCATCACTAATTACAAGACATTTAGATAATTTTGTTTGCTTAACGTTTAATTCGACCGTTCAGATTAAACACTGTTATATTTTACACTATTACATCTTAATTTTACATCAATGTCATTAAATCTGATTTTTTTAGTTAATAGGCGCATACATTGTCTTGGTATAGAAGTTCATTCACTTGCAAAGCCAATTATCCTATTGTCTGCACATGAATCTGCATTGTGACTGCCAATGTTATATTATGAAGGAGAAATAAGGCATAAAGTACTACATAATTTGGTTATTCCAAAGATGATACTATAATACAATGTAGTTTTTTAACATTTTTATTGTTCCTCATTGTTAATTTTTAGGCTAGTTAGACACAAAAATGTAGTTTGAGTTCCATGCTATTAAGATGTTTTATAATTTAAAGTATTGGTTAAGTAGTTAATATATTTATTACCAAATGAACAATCACATCTTTAATGAATATAAAATAATTATTTACGAGATCACACTAGGACTTGGACGTAACTGCGTATCTTAGATAAGTAAGGATATTAAATTGTTATATGGAATTATTATTTAACATATGTAATGTAATTATGTGTTATGGATAGTAAGAAAAAGTTAAATAAAGAGAAGAGGTAGACCTAGAAAGAGATGGATGGATTGCGTGAAAGGTGACATGATCAAAAAGGGAGTGATGACTGAGATGATGTGTGATAGAGTTTTTTGGAGGACAAAAACCTGTTGCGCTGACCCTACTGGAGTAGGATAAGGTGGATGATGATGATGGTGAAAGAGAAAAAATAATAATTAGTTGTTATGTAAAGTTTAACAGCATATGTTTTGGCAATGCACTTTGTTATTTATAAAGTACTCAAATTATTGGTGTTATACATTAAGAATATGTTACTCTTCGACACAAGAGATATATCTACTATAGTAACAAAAATTTGAATTTGTAATTATTTAAATATCAAACACAGTTGATGTTTCACATTATATCTGGTAAAGGGAAATTCCGGAATAGTTATTCCCAATGTCAAATCAAATGTTTTATATTTATAAACATGTGTTATCATTTAAAATACGTATTTTAACTTTGTCTTGTTTTTTCTCTATGTATGAATATGGACACAAACACTGTTCAACTTATCAGTATGGCTTTTTGGACTTACCATTGTGCGCATAAGGATAAAAAAAATTAAACAACTCAGTTATATTTAAAAAGTCATTCGCATAGAATATTATTCATATAATTCAAATGTATGTTTAAATTATGAATAAGCTTAGTCTGTAATCTATGTCATGAGCTATTTCTCAAAAAGTAGTTCTAAGCTATGACTATAAGTTTTATTTCCTAAAATAACAAGATGAACACTTTGACTACCACCGACTCGCCCTGCGTATTCACGTAGATTACAGCGACTTTGAAAGTGTTAAGCTGTAGCTTCTAAATGCGACGAAACTTAACAAAAGCGTGGTAATATACGCATGCGTGGATCATTTGGCTCCAGTATCGCACAGAATGTAACAGAAATGGAAACAGTCAACGTAACATCGAGGCGTGTCTTCCGCCTTATAACGCATCTATTTATGGTCCGCGATACGACTAGCGAGGTCCAACTTGGTCAGAAGTACCTGTCCTGTTTATAGGCGTTACAATGTCCTTGTCTCTGTTGAGATAATGAGGCATTAAATAAATAAATTAAAGCAAATTATTGATTTACTCTTTGAACGTATGACTTGGTTACTTATATGTACCCATGATAGTGTAAGTCTAAGAATGCTAAAAGATACTGTCGTTAACAGCCTTTTTATGCAACGTTATTTTCCCTTTTAATATTATTAATATCGTCAAGAGGTCGAACTGCGGTCCCGTACAATTAACTCCTAACACCTAACTAGTAGTTCTATCTGTAAAAGTAAGAATAAATACATTTTCAAAATACTACAAACAAGAGATTTATTAGTAGGTGCAAGAATACTGCATAATCATTGCATCATTGCGCCTGCGCCATGGCATGGTTTATTTTTTTTATCTTTACTTATAACTATTTGGATCATACATCCTTATTTGTAACGAAAGAAAGTCATGAAGACGATTACTACGACCAGCCATCGCTAGGTGGTTCAAAGGTTTCTATTTAAAAACTCTACCTTAAACTATTGGTCTATTATCGTAAACATTAAAAGGAAGTAAATGTTAAAGTAGCATCTTGTGCAATATGAAAGACATTTTTATACATATACGATGAAAAGCCGTCAAACGCCTTCCCTGCAGCCTCGTAACCTGATTTCGTGTAAAACAATGAGTTCATCGCTCTGGCAGTCGGCCAGGCCGCGGCTGGGCTGCCGACTAAATGTTGCTAATTAGCTATAGTTTGTATAATAGACGATTTCTACACCATCGGCCGATGGAAGGATTGGGATGTTGCGAAATAAAATTTTAGTCTTAGTAAGAACTAAGATCTATTAAAAGAACTAAATACATTCTATGATGATTGCCATGTATTGCAGTAGTGGTAACTCGTCGGACTCAAAACAAAATTCGTAAAACTTGAAATCGATTTTATTATTGCATTTCGATTACTTCATCACCTATTTTTTTGTTGACTGGCGTTGGATTGCTTCCGTTTGCTATGTTTTTCTGATACATTAAGCACTTTTTTGTAATTCGAGTATCACAATAGAGCTGCACAGTTATTGGCTTCCTTTTAATCGATATAATTTTGATAAGCAAATAAGTTATTAATAAACGATGACTGTTAGTCTAATATTAGTACAACCTACATACATGAGATTGTTCTAATTAATACAACAGTTGACGTAACAGGTAAAGGTGACTGACGACATCACCGGATATCACGTTAGCTATTTCGGTACTTCCATATAATTAGTACAAGCCCACGTAAAATCAATGGTGTTATACGATAAAAACTGCGATAAATCTCGTGAAATAGCTAGTTTTGATTACAGTTTTTATAGTAAAAATATTTGTGGCAATGAACAATGTCATAAAATAATTGTGCTACTGAGTACAGTGACACAAAATAATCTTGCCACTAAGTACAATGCCACAAAATAATTGTAGCATTGTGTACAGTGCCACAATTATTAAAACCAGTAGGTCGAGAATTGAACAGTTCAAATTCAGTTAAAACATTCAGAATTGAGCGTATGTGGCGGACTTAAAATTTTTCTTTTAATATCAAAGAGCTTACTTACGCTACGTTTGTTCGTGAACTGTTTCTATACATGTAAAAGAAACTCAATTGTTACCATAAACCCTTTTGTTTTAAACTATGGTGTTTATTTGTATAATAGTTTTGCGTCAAGTGTAACGTAACATCATCGTCTAGTTTATGGGAAATCCATGCGTAGTTGCATGCCAACATCTGATTCATACACCTTAATGCGTTTGACTCATTATTTTTAGACTGGTTGGACTATGAATGTATCTCTATTCTATGAATTTGTAAAAGATTTATATGTAGTTGTCTATCTGTAATTTTTTGTAGATTCTGGTTTTGGAGTTATTGAATTAAATAATGACGCGTCTTCGTAGTAAGTGTTTTGTTTTCGAATTCTCAGTATGTAGATGACATTAAGAAC